TCCTCTCCGGGAACCTGTCTGACCCGGCGCCCGCCATGGAGCGGGCTGCCCGGCCCTGGGCCCACACCCGCGCCGCGCTAGGCCGCCTGGAGAAGCTGCTGCATTGCTCCCGCTGGTGAGGACGGGCGGGTCTGCGGCGCGGGAGGGTGCGGTCCCCGCCCCTCGAGCCGGAGCGGGCTGCCCCTGCCCGCTGTATGGCCCGGGCTCCATCCTTGTGAGTGAGTGACTCGTCAGCCATGGTAGCAAACTGTACTGAAATGGCAGGTCTTGAATTTTCTCGAATTTTCGCGGGAGAACAGCCTTGGAGGCGTGGCTCAAACCAGAGCTGGCTGGCCCCGCCCCCACGGTGTGACTGTTAGGGCGGGTTGGGACTGAGGTTTTTTGGGGGGGGCTCCTGGAATGCCGGGGCCCTTCCGAGGGTCAAGTCACAGCCCCTCTGAGGTAGCCTTTTGGACCCGATGGCAGACATTTGGGATGGAGAGTTAGGGACCTAGTTTGACTATGGCTGTGTGATGGCCTGTTGATCATTTCTTTGGCTTGATAGAAATACTGGGTATTGAACCTGGACCTCCAGCATGGAGGCATACAAGCGACTGCGTAGCTCCAGCATTTTTCATTTTCTTCTAAATCATTTATTGAGCACTTGCTGTTTACACAGCCTCATACAAGATCATTTTGGTGGGTTAACTTACTTGTAGCTATTACAAATGTATTTCCATTTTGGATCCCCCGCCTCCAAGTTTCCACCTAGAATTCACTGTTGTTGCTTACACAGAATGTTTTCCTCTAAAAATCAAAAATTTAAGTTTTGCACTTAAATTTTGATTTTTTACAAAATCTTAATATCTGACAGAATGACATTACAGCCCTTAGGAAAGTGGCAGTTTTGCTAGCTTGAGTATTGAGTTGTGTTTGAGTCATATGAGTCATTAGGAAGTATAAAACTTGTGGCTGTAATAACAAGCCATGCTAACCTGTGCCTTAAATAGTTCAACCACACCTAGGCACACAAACGAAACAGCATTTCACTAGCGTGTGTAAGACCACCTGAGTCCAGTCAGGTCTTTCTGTGTCTCAGTAGTAATGATTAACTTATTCTTTCAATGATTTACTAATAAAAATAAAACTATTGAGCACTTATGACACTGTTCTGAATATAGAGAACTCATTAGTAAGCAAAACAGACAAAATCCCAGTGTTTCAGTCACTGCCTCAGGGGTCCCAAGTCTTCTCTTTAAAGAGAAGTAAATTGTCAAGTTTGGTGATTTTCATAAGTAAATGGTTAACTAATGTGTTATGAAAAAAGATTGTTCTAAAATTAAACAAGCCAATTTCCCTTTGTCCCACTTGCCAAATACTTTTTATTTTCTAACAGAAGAGAACAGATAGAAAGAGTCAAGGACCTGAAGGTAGACATCAGTAAACTAGGTCCAGACTTTTGGTATATAAATGTATCTATCATCCAGTTGGCCAGAGATGATTGAATTCCTGTTTTTTGTTTGTTTGTTTGTTTTGTTTTTTTTTAAGAAATTACTTAGTATATGAACCTCTGGAAGATGAACTAAAGTTTTTTTTATTTTTTGTCTTTTTGAGACAGGGTCTCCCTGTAGCCCCAGCTATCCTGGAACTCACTAAGTAGACCAGGCTGGCCTTGAACTCACAGAGACCCACCTGCCTCTGCCTCCCGAGTGCTGGGAAGAAAGGCGTGCACCACCACGCCCAGCGAGCTAAAGGTTTTTAAAAAATATTTTTATGTGTATGAATGTTATGCCTCTATGCAAGTGCAGCCGTGTTGTGCAGTACCCTCAGAGGACAGAAGGTGTTAGCCGCCATGAGTGTGCTGGGATTTGAACCTGGGTCTTCTGTAAGAACAGCCAGTGCTCTTAACTGCTGAGCCATCTCTTCAGCCCCAGATGAACTAAATTTTAACTATTAGAGTATATATTTCCACATAGTACTTTGAATTTATTTTTCTGCTGTGAAATATCAGTACATATTTTAATGTTTTAAAGCCACAAATAATCTCTATTCTTGCTTTTTTATTTTATACTTTCCTTAAAAATATAGCCAGGCATGGTGGTGCATGCCTTTGATCCTGGCACTTGGGAGGCAGAGGCAGGTGGATCCCTGTGAGTTCAAGGTCAGCCTGGTCTATTTAGTGAGTTCCAGGACAGCTGGGGCTATAGGGAGACCCTGTCTCAAACAAATAAACAAAAAAACAAAATAAAAAGATTTAAAAATGTAAAAATATTCTATGTTCAAAGGCTCCAGGAAAGTAGGTTGCTTGCTTGATTTGAGCCACAGGCCAAATTCAGTTTCGTTTTGTGGTTTGAGACAGGGACTTGTTATATAGACCAGGCTAGCCTGGAACATAGATACTCAGCTGGCCTTCGTGCGGCAGTCTCCTGAGTTCTGGGATCACAGATGTGTGCCACCTTACCAAGCTTCAAACTTCAGCTTTAGCAGAGAAAAAAAGTCCTAAGTTTAAAGGTCTTTTTGATACAAAATTTTATATGACTTGGGAAATGATTGATGTCATAATAGGAATGGTTTTGCTTTCCTCTCTTGCTATGTCTAAGTTTGGCGAACTCTGTCAGAATAAAGCTGCGTGCACCTCGCCCCAAGGAGAGGACACTTTTCTTACCGTTGCTCTGCCTTTACCCTCCTTGCCCGCTATCATTGCTGGAACAGAGCAACCCAGGATGATCTGCTTTGGTTCTCCATCATTCAGAGTGTCATATTATTTGAAATTGTGTCAGTATGTCCTTTCACAGAGTTTGAGAGTTCTCCCCAGTAGGCTAGTGATTACCCCGATTACCCTCACTTTCAGCTTGCAGCTGTCATCTCTCTGGTGTTCCCAGCTGTCATCTGTCTTGTGTAGCACATTGGCTATGTTTTGTAGCAAGTATCACTTGCTGGTGCAGGTGGGTTGGCTACATTACGAGGCATCCTTTCCTGACCTTTAACATGACCATAGCGTCAAGGTGAATCTGGTGAAAGTGTTGAAGAGGCCAGGTGTGACATTTGTGTTGGGGCCAGCCTCACAACAAGATAGAAGCTATTTAAAGATCTGGAAAAACAAAGCCAGGAGACCTTTTTTTTTTTTGTTTTTTGAGACTGGCAGAAAGCAGAGTACTAATGTATTCCTAAAGGAAGTTGAAATAGAGACGCTGCCTTGTAAAAGCTCCAGGTGTCCTGTGATGCTGTTTTAATGAAAATAGGTACTCTTGGCATATTTTAGGGGTGGGTAGGCTTTGGCAGTTATGCCGTTTATATTTTATATTACGTCACTTTTAATGAGGGCTAGAAAGTTATAATTTTACTTAGTTGGTTTTCTTCTTCCAAGTTATCACTTAACAGAATCTCACTCTACTTCAGGCTGTCCTGGAACTCACTGTGTAGACCATAGTGGCCTTAAACACCCACAGTGATCCTGCCTCAGCCTCTCAAGTGCCAGGATTATAAGTGTGAACTTGGCTTTCTTTGATGTCTTTTTTGGGGCAGGATCTTGTGATGTAATCCAGACTGGTTTTGAATTTGAGATCCTCTTGCCTTAGCCTTGTTAGTGCAGGAATCACAGCACCATACCTGGATCTCCCTGTTTCTTGAGACAGTGTTGCTTAGTGGTTAAGAACATGGATTTTGGGGACTGGGGAGATGGCTCAGTTGGTAAAGCACTTGCATGAGGACCTGAGTTCGGATCCCCAGCACCCACATAAAGACTGGGTATGGTTGAGCACAGAAGTAATCCAGGACTGGGGCAGAGACAGGCAGATTCAAGTGGCTTGCTGGTCAGCTAGTCTAGCTGAAATGACTGTCCCCAGGTTGAGAGACTGTCTCAAAAAATAAAGGGAAGTGCTTGAGAAAGATACTCCAGCACCAGCCTCTGACCTTCATACGTGTCTGCAAATGCGTATACCACACACACAAATAAAAAAAGAGCATGGATTTTGGAGTTAGACCCTCTATTAGTCACTTTTCTGTAGCTGTGATAGAAACATTGACTCTGGCAATTTATAGAAAGAAAAATTTATTTGCGCTACGGTTCCAGGGGAATTACAGTCCGTCATGGCAGGGAGGCATGGTGGCTGGAGGTGGCTGGATCAGGAGCAGCAGAAGCTAAGCGCTCACATCATCACGCAGGCACCAGAAGCAAAAGAGCGATCAGAGATCTGGCAAGGCTTAAGAACTCTCTAAGCCCACCCCAAGTGACATGCTTCCTCCAGGATAGCTACACCTTCTAAAACCTCCCAAAACAGTGCCATTGTCTGGGAACAAAATGTCCTAACACTTGAAGCCTATGGGGGACATTTTCATTCAAGCCACCACAGACCCTGTAATTTCAAATCCTAGATTAGTGATTTTGGAGCATGGTTTTTAATCTTTGTGTACTTAATTTTCATTATCTGCAGAGTTAGTGGTTTGTGCCTTATCAGATTGTCACGGGAATGAAATAAGTTTACTTAATGAGATTGTTAGAATATTGCCTGCTAGGAACTAAGTGGATATGAGTGTTTCAAATAAAGGACAGGTGTACTGACTCTAGCATTTAAGCATTTGCCTTTTGAATCTTCAGAGTGATTCTAGGCCAGTGATCTTAAGTGGAATGGATGATTGCTCCCTTCAGTTGGCTGTGGCCCTGGTTATTTCTTAGAACAAGAAACCATTATTGTAGTGGTGATGAACTTCTACCCTTAAGGCATATGAGGTTAATTTCAAGGAGTTAAAGGGACACAGAATTCAGGATAAATTATGATGGACATGTAGAGGTAATGTGTACAAAACATGTTGAGGGGAACGCTATAGCTGGGTCTAGTGGAGGAAAGCTATATGGGCTTTGCAATTGGACATCTGAGGTATGGGTAGAGTTTTGTTAATGGAACCATCTAACAGTGGTGGTGGGGGGCTGTGGTGGTTTGAATGAAAATGTTCCCCCATAGGCTCCAAATATTTGGACATTTTGTCCCCAGATGATGGTGCTGTTTTGGGAGGTTTTAGAAGGTGTGGCTATCCTGGAGGAAGCATGTCACTGGGGGTGGGCTTAGAAAGTGGTTAAGCCTTGCCAGATCTCTGGCAAGATCTCTCTTACTTCCTGTGCCTGCTGGAAGACGTAGA